TTTTCTTCCTAGTAGCTGGCATAGTGCTGTGTTTTGGATTTAGTATGAGAATAAAGCTGGTAACACCCTGATTTTTTAGTTGTTGCTAGGCAGTGCTGACACTAGTCAAGGACTTTTCAGCTTCCCATGCTCTGCCAGGTGCACAAGAAGCTGGGAGGGGGCACAGCCAGGCCAGCTGACCCAAACTGGCCAAAGGGCTATTCCATACCATATGATGTCATGCCCAGTATATAAACTGGGGGGAGATGCCTGGGGGGCAGCGATCGCTGCTCAGGTGCTGGCTGGGCATCGGTCAGCTGGTAGTGAGCAATTGCATTGTGCATCACTTGCTTTGTGTATTCTTTTAGCATTATTATTATTTTCTCTTCCTTTGCTGTCCTATTAAACTGCCTTTATCTCAACTCATGGGTTTTACACCCCTCTGCCCCCCCACCCCGATTCTCTCCCGCATCCCACTGCAGGGGGGAGAGTGAGCGAGCAGCTGTGTGGTGCTTAGTTGCTAACTGGGGTTAAACCATGACACCTCGTTTGTCAGGCACGGGTCCAGCCCTTATTTTGGCAACTTTTCCTCACTGAAGTCCTGCCTACACCCACCTGATCTTCCTCACCGCTCTAGAAGCAAATGTTTCCCTTCAGGCTTCCTAGAAACCTCTTGTTCAGCTTTCTGCAGGAAGAAAGGGAAAATCATGTCCCTTACCACTACCCTCTCACAGCAGAGGGGAGCAGGAAGTACTCTTCCCTAAACCTGCTGCTCTTCCTGAGGCCTTGGAAAATGAAGGAAAAAAGGTCATATCCATCAATTAGGGAAAAGGTTGGGGGGAGGTGCAAATACCTGTCTGCATGACACTCACCCGTCCTTGACCCCATGAAGATGAAAACAAAGTAGGTCAGAAGATAATAAATGTTATGATACACATAAACATTGTTAGGAGCTCTGAGGAACAGCAGTGACATAAGAGAGTGCTCATTACAGGCACTGGCAAAATCCTTGTGGCTGATTTTGGATTGCATCAGTGACTTGTAGTCTGATATATTTATTTTTCTCTTGATTGCTCTGTATTTTATCAGTCATAATGAAAGGGAAAACATTTCTCAGTGTTTTAAAGAACATTGTTCTAAAGAACACCATTTATTTACTTCGGCCTGAAAAAAATGATGAAGAATGTTGCCTTCCAAAACTAAGTGGTTACAATGTTTCAAGATGAATTTGAAATCCAAATACTAGGAATTTGAAGAATTCCAGGTGTAGCTGTCTAGAAGGAATGTTTTCTCTGACTTCATCCCCACAGTGAACACAACTTTCTCTCACTCCATTTACAACATAAACCTTGTTAAGGTTGCTACTTGTAGTCCGTAAAGTGATCAATGAATTACTGACTTCATTCTAACCAGAGGTATATTTGTCTTTCTGTTTTAACATCTTAACTCTAAGCCTTCACATCTAGTCCATAGAAAGCATGCGTTGCCTTCTCAGCTGGCATTTTATAAGTGGCTGCTGTGTTTGTGTGTCTACCACACGGTAGGAGCCCCAGGGCTTACTTTCCTGCTACATGGGGTAGGGAGTGACACGTGGTGAGAAAGTGCTTAATAGTGGGAAAGCTCTTGGAAAAGTTCCTGGAAATAACAGTGACTCTCTTACTGTAACAGACCTTTAGATGGCATTGTGCTGTATTAGAGGTGAGGGTTGGTAACTCAGTTGTTTAAGTACTTGCTGGCTGGATTTGTGAATAGATTTATTATTTTCACCTTTATTGTCATCTTTACCTGTCAGTACACAAATAACTAAGTGACAAATTATTCTGGTTTACCCAGATAAAACCAACACGTATTCTTGGAAGAGAATTCTGAAGAAAGTCCTCACTCAACCTTTACTTCTTGTTAGAAGCCTTGTGTACTAATACAAAAATTGTAGGCTGAATATTTTCAGTTTAAGTCACGAATTCTGTATTAAATGGTAAATCTGAAACACTAGACTTCGTGGATAGCCCTTGACAAGTATCACTGATGTCAGACACTTTTTTTTGTGTGTTTTCTAGGTGGTAAGGAATACATTTTCTCTGTGAGATTGTTTAAAGTAGGTTAGCATCAGCTTTCCTACCTTCCCCTGCAACTAATTTTGAAGCATGATAGTGAATCACTGAATCGCTATCAGAATCACTGATAGTGATTGCAGCAGTGATATTTGCTTTCTCCCTCCTCTTCCTCCAGAGTTCTGGCTGGTCCTGGACATGGCATCAACATAAATAGCAGCGAGATGTGGGCAGCCTGAGCTTGTGCATTCCCTAATGAAACTTCCGTTGGCACTTAATCTAATGCTAATACTATAATTCCTGAAAGGATATTGGATATCTGTGAAAGAGAAGAAAATATGACACTTGGCAGGAGGGGTGAACAGTGCTTCATGCAGGATGTCCTGGACACTCGCTATGAGCTGGACTGCGTATAAAAAGCTAATTGCCATGTTTTTCCTTCTTTCTCCAGGAACTTGAACTAGTAGTTTTTTCACACATACTTTGTGTGTTTTCTTTTCCCACCCCCTTCCCTTGTACCCTTCATTTCAGATCTGAATGAGTGTGGACTAAAGCCGCGGCCGTGCAAACACCGGTGTATGAATACCTACGGCAGCTACAAGTGCTACTGTCTGAATGGCTACATGCTTATGCCAGATGGAATGTGCTCGAGTACGGCAAGGCTTGTTGCTTTCTTTTTTCAAACTCCTCAAGATCCGTGCTTGGGTTTCCCTGGGAAACTTGTGTGAAATGAAGATGAGTCCCAAAGTAAAATATTAATCGTGCTGGAAATTAGGCAGTTGCACAAGATGAGCTGCTTTTTTCTAATGAAATTAGGCTGAACAAAATGAGCAAATATTTTGATTTTATTAGTTTTATTACAAGTTTCCCCAGAAGCATTCTTCAGTGCTGTAAATCACCGTTAATTGGCCTTCAAGGACAAGTGCTTGCAGTTTTCATTGCAGCAAGACACCTGCAGTTCTGCTCTGTTATGTCCTTATGAACGTAAAATCATTAAAGCTGCAGATGTTGGTTGTTTGACTGGTATAAAATTGTGTTGTCATCTCTCTGGAGATCAGGTTCCTACTAGCCCCATAAAAGTGGGTATTTTGAGTGTCTGGCCAGAGAGAAGGAGGAAAGAAATTATGTTTAATTAGAGATGGTCCTATTTTAAAATGGCAGTACTGTTCAGGAGGGTTTATGGTACATACTGGGCTTTATGTTCCTGATGGAGGCTGCATTCCATGACACAACTTGCTACAATTGTGGTGGTTTTCTTTTTTTTTTTTTCTTAGAGATGCAATTTGTGGAAAGAAAAAATCTGCTACATATGCATTTGCTCTTTAAAGCCTGAATGGATACCTGTCAAATTCAACAAGCATTTTTCCACTTCTATCGTAATTATATGACATCTTAACTCTCCCACGTTTTTAGTCATTTTCTGGTACTGATCAGAGTCCTTATCTAAATATGTTCAATTATTTTTCCCTAGATGCCCTTACTTGCTCGATGGCAAACTGTCAATATGGCTGTGATGTACTGAAAGGGGAAGTACGCTGCCGTTGTCCTTCTCCAGGACTGCAGCTAGGGCCTGATGGAAGGACTTGCATAGGTAGGTGATCAAATGTAGATTTAATTTTTTTTCTCCAAAATGTTTTTATCCTTACACTGAACCCCGTTCAAGAGAGTTTATCAGATGTATTTAGAATCCATCATACATGCAGTTTAAAGACGTTACTGATGAGAATTGGGATAGGCATGTTGCTCAGGTGCTCTCAGGTTGTATGTGTCAGAGATTGCCAGTGTTTTCCTCCAGTCCTGCAAGTTTCATTGCCTGCTTAAAACTTGCACAGGCTGCTTGGCATCCAAGCCCTCAGCCCTTACCACTCCTGTTACTGGGTCATTTTAAACTATTGCTAACAGAGACTCCAAAATACCTGCCAGCATAAAAAAAAGAATGGGGAGGTCAGCTCTCCCTCTTACCCAACAAGATGGTGCCTAGTCTCAGGGAGTAGAGGGCTAATTTGTGCAAATTATTGAGATTATACTGGGACAAGGTGAAGGTGTGTGCATGCTCCCAATATTAATGGGATTGAAGCGACTGTCTGTCTTCCGTACTGTGAAAACTCCAGGTTAAAATAAACTCAGGAATTCAGACTGTGTAAAAGTGAAATGTTTTGTTCCCACGTTCGTGAATGTGGAAAAGGTGCTTATGGTTAATCAGGCTGTATTGTGCCACACTCTACTGTGGTCTGAAGAACAGTGTGACATGTGATTTCATTAGTCATTAACTATACATCCTGAGTGGATATGATGCTCCAGTGATTTTATTATTTATATCCTATGCAGTGCTGCAGTTCCATGACCAGTAACAACACTTAGAGTGAAAGAATGTAAGAGAATGTGGATGCCCTAATTATCCATTTGGGTATCATGGCTGTCCACGGGGGAGGTGGTTTGCCAAGTGGGTGACCCATGCTGACCAAGAATTTGTTGGCAGAGCAAGGGACAGATTCTAGATCTTCTGATGTGAGGAGCAGGCTGAGGCTTTCTGAAGTGCATGATTGGCATGTCTATCTATGCAAAAGAATGGGTAGAACAGGTGAAAAAACCCCACCGTTGTTTCTAGATCCTCTGATGTGAGGAGCAGGCTGAGCTCTAAGTCGGAGGCTTTCTGAAGTGCATGATTGGCATGTCTATCTATGCAAAAGAATGGGTAGAACAGGTGAAAAAACCCCACCGTTGTCACATGCTGAAGGGATTGAATTGTGATTAATCACACTGTACATTATGGCAGACAGAGATCTTTGGAGGAGACTTGTGCCGTGCCATAGTGAGACGAGTGATTTTAAGTACCAATTCAAGGAGGTTATACCAAGTACAGAAATTTGCTAGAAAAATACTTGCAAGATTTTTATTTTATAAGATTACAAGACTTTATGTGCATTTTTATATTCAGGCAAACTTCATACTTTGAAATAAACAAACTGCATTTTTCATGCCGAAGACTAGCACTCAAATCAGTTATATGAAGCACTTTCAGTTCTTCAGTGTAATTTTCGAAACCCCACCTTTTTCCCAGAGAGGTGAAGAACTATGTACCCGCATTTCAGTTGGGTGTGCATCATTCAGATTGGTATCAATAACCTATTTTTAAAATTTTCCACAAGTATTTCAGAGCAGCTTTGTACAATACAGAGAAAGTAGTCACAGCAAGAGATCTTTGTCCTTCATGGGTCATAACATGATCTACTCCCCTTTTTTGGTAAGAAGTAGTTGTGACGTGCGCCCTTTTTGTGTTTTTTCTCTATCAAGTTTGAGTTGTACTAAAACCAGTAAACACCTCCAAGAATTGAAGCTATTTGGGGTTAGGACTGTGCCTTTTCCTCACATGTGTACAAGCCCATCACTGTTGGGGAGATTGTCAGCTCTGGCAAGGGTCTGGATATTGCTGCAGTACAAATAGAAGTGTAGATGACGGTAAAAAAACCTGAAGCGTGCATTGGCTGCGGCTCATGAAATCCTTGTTTGAGGAGAGTTTGAAAGAGAGCTGGGAATGTAGTGCTTATTTTTAGCACAGGTGGAAATTCCTCTAGGCATTGTTCTATTCTTAGTTTAACCCATGCTGATCATTCTCTTGTTAAAACGTTCCTTCCAGATAATCAGTATAGAGCCACCAAACAATTTGGCTATAAAGGTAAATCATATAAACTAAATAACAATGAATTGAAAAAGAATTCAGCCAAGTGTTCAGTGAAAATACAGATTAATAGACTAATTAATTGATTAATGACTCTTGAATCAATAAATCAATCAGTATTGCCAGCTTTTTGGATTGGGATTTTCATTTAATGAAATTAGCAGTATATATATTTCAGCTTCAGAAGGTCTGAAATTATTTGAGGACTGACTAATTATTTTCACTGTAAAATAAATTCTTTCTAGTTGTTTTGGTTTTGTATAGAAACTTGAAAATAGGACCTTGTAAACTTAAAAACTGTTTTTAAATCAATCTCATAGTTGTTTAGTGCTTGAGTTGGCAATATGGTCATACGCAGAGCAAGAGAGAGGCAAGACTTTGTAATTCTGCTTCTCTGTTGAACACTGACCACAGCACGCATTAGGTGCTGTCTGTATTATGTGCCTTCGGAGCGGCTCCCTGGCGCTAAGTCTGGGCATGCACCTCCATGGCAGACCAGGCTGAGATCCGAATACAAATCGCCCCTTCATGCCGTGGTTTTCATAGGAAGCAGGCATGAGCCACAGCACGTTGCAGCAGGCAAAGGGAAACAGCCTTACACCATTTGTGCCCAGGTGTGAACTGGCATGGGTCCACGGACTTGAAAGAAGCCACAGTCACGGTACTGTTTGAGAACTGCAGGAAACTAATCATAAGCACTTGCATATCAGCTTCTGGCTAATGATCAAGAAGTGTTTTTCCACCAATAACAAGCATCCACCCACCTCTGGTATTAAATGCAAGCAGTAGACTGTTAACTTTTTTCCATTACTTTTGTGTCAGTTTTCAAGAGTGTATTGATTAGCAGTTCAGTCCTGTATCTTTAGGATGTTTAACTACCTAGAAAATTAAACAATGCCACTACAGTGCTCTCATCATCTAACATACTTCTTGCCTTATGGGAATTTGCAAAAACATGAATATGTAGAGAGGGAAAGGCAGGACAAGCTCCATTAGGTTTCAAAGAATATAATCCATGCCATGATGAGGTATATTCAGTGGCTAATTTTCTTCTTACTGAATTGCTTTTTGAAGTTGTGGTGTAAAGATAAAAACAACAACAAAGAACCCCAACTAACTCATAGTAATCAAGAGTCTGAAATTTGCAGCCTTGAAGTAATATTTTAATAAAGGCAGAAGATTGTGGCTTGTCAATTAAATAACAGTAAGGGACCCAGTAGAATTTATAAAACTGTTAATAACGTACTGAAATCCTAAAACTTTAATAACAGATTCAAACCAAGAGGCAGATTTATGAGGAGATTCAGGCACGTGGAGAGGTCCTCAGTATTGGCCTTGTTTTCTTCCTTGTTCAGGCCTTTACCGCAGCATTGCAGGAGCGCTCCTGACTGAGAGGAAAGGAAAGCTGCTGTGTCAGAGCAGTCTGACGGGCCAGAGTGTGGGAGGGAGCTCAGGGGTTGAATCCTTGCTGTCCTCAGTAATTCTTCATGCGGAGTGGGACAGTGCCAGCAGGAGCTACTGGGACAGCCTGTCTAGGCAGTGATTCATGGCTTGAGGTCACTTCTTTTGGCTGCGGGAAACACAGCTTGGAGAATTCGAAGCTACATCTCCCCTGCCTCAGGTAGCTGCCCTAGCTAACCAGCAGTTTTGTGGTAATATTTTTCCTGTGCTGTGCAAGAAGCTCAGGCTTCTGTCTGCCTTGTTCACGCCTCTTTCACAAGCTAGGAGGACATCAATCACTCGGCTTTGTTTTGCACTCTTGACACCTGCAGCTGAAGTGCTCCTTTTGGGGAAAGAATTGCGTGGAGAGCAAAATGTTGCTTTCCTGATAGAGCTGCAGAGCAAAGGCTTGAACTGTGCTCTGTAGATCAGCAAAAAATGCCAGGAGTGGCGTGCATCAGAGGCTGCTGCGCATGGCAGGCCTCCACCTCAGTGAAGAATTAGGGTTCAAGCACTCAGCAGGCTTCAGCTCAGTTTCCAAGGGCTACAAAGTGAGTGGTAGTGCAAGCAGCTTCTGTGTATCAGCCTGACCTCATCTGAGAGTTTCCCAGACAGTGAAAGCAGTGCTGGGTGAGCATTGCCTGCTCCCTGGGCCTCTGCCTGGCTTGTAGGTCAGCGTGAAGAACAACATCTTCTGGGAGATGAGGGGCATCAGACATTTGCTGAGCATCATCCGTGTCATCCCACTCCTCTGTCCTTGCCTGTAGGTTGCTTGCTGAAGCACTGCTTCAGGTCCTGCTGGCAGCCCCTGGCAGGGCACATGGGAGCTGTGTATCTCAGAACCTCAGAGATAGTTTAAGGTCACTTAGGTAGCCAACCTCTCTGTGAAAGAGGGGTCAGCTACAGCGCAGGCACTGCAGGGTAAGAGGTTGCAAGGAGCTCGTACTCAAAAAGCATTTGGCCTGTGGTAACTAACTGGTAGGAGACCCAGAAATACTGCACCTCTGGCATTAGCTTGAACACTCTTTGTTCAGAGCAAGTCCTGAACAGATGAAGATTTCCTGATAGGCTCAACGGGCAGGTCATAGATTAGGGACATCTGAAATTTTTAAAAAAACCAAACCACTTCCTACTGCAGGGTGATGTACTTTGAATGTGCACGTATGACCTGTGCTATGGGAACAATATGTCAGGTGTGTTTCAGAAAAAGAATTACTGGGGTAGTTTTTATTATCATTCTTTGTCTGTAGATCCAGGTGCTGTCTTTATAACCAGGCAGGGCTTAGTAGGACAAAAGTAAGTTATACAAATAACATGAAAGAGGTTTTCTTCAGACGAATACCATTACAGTTCTAAGGATGAGTGTTTTGAGGCCTTGAAGAAGCTGTCGTGCGTTCTGTGGGGCATTAGAGAATGTCTCCTCTCCAAGGGGAAGGGTACCAGGATGGCAAGAGCATAGAGCAAGCATTCCAAATTCAGTAGCGATGCTTGTTATCCCAGTGCATCTCTTGTCACTCACAGTATTTATAAAGGCTTCTGGCACAGGAGGCATAAAAATTTGGGCATGTGACCAAGAGCTGAACTGAGATGGCACAACCAGAAGAAGCGCTCGGGTGTTATTGCTGGCTGACCAGCTTGTAGCTGAAAGGACCTTATCAAAAATACTTTGGCTATTCTTCTTTAGTTTTTCATTATGTGAAACCAGTTTAATTTAGATAGTATAGATTGTATTTTAACAGCTATTAAGAATAATATGGTTCCTTTGTTTCCACAGATATTGATGAATGTGCTACTGGGAGAGTTATCTGTCCACGATTTAGGCACTGCGTCAATACTTTTGGAAGCTACATTTGCAGGTGTCATAAAGGCTTTGATCTAATGTACATCGGAGGCAAATACCAATGCCATGGTAATAACAACTTATTTCTTATGTGCATGTGATAGAGCTGCATAATCTAAACTGAAATTAATGGTTTAAAGAGGAATGTTTGCTTATTATGGCTGAAATGTTGAAGCAGTTGGTTTGGGTTGCACTGCATCTATATTTTAGGAAAGAGTTGATTATAGAAATAGGCTGTGAAAAAGAAAGCATATATTTGGCCCCCATTCTTATAACTGGTTCTCCTGTGGAAGCTAGTGGGAGAGCAGAGCTGATGACCCCAGGAATTCCTTCCCAAAGTTTTTGTCCCCACAGGTTTCGCTGTGCGCAGGCAGTTGCAGGTCTGGAGCAGCATATGAGCTTAGGCTATGTCTGAGCTGTAAGCGGGTGTGCTCTGTAGCATGCCCCAAGATCCTAGATAAGGAAATGTGGCTAGAGCACACCCCAGCTCCTTCCAATCCAGGCTGCCCAACTTTCCTTCTTCCCCTAAGACAGGTTGGGAAAAGGCAGGGGCTGGGAAATAAACTGTCTTTGTCTGGACGTGAGACTGGAATGCAGCTGGTGTATGCCCTTCAACAAAGATGTTTCCAGGTCCCAGTCTTAGTTTCCCAGGGCCTCAACTGGTTATGATCCTTTCACTGAAAACAGGATCATGTGGAGATAATGAGGCATTGCTTTATGTTTGTTTAAGTATATGTTTGGAGATAAATCTCTCTGCAGAGCACTGGAATTTGGAGATTTTTGCTTGCATCACTAACAACAAATATGGAAATGCCATATAAGATGTTTGAAGCGTTTTCTACTTGACGTAGAAACATCTATACAGATATATAATAGAGGAAGCATTTTATGAAAAAACAGTTTAATACCTGTGTGATTAAGAACATGCATATCCTACATGCAATTTTTCTTTTCTTATTATGTCACCTTTAAGAAGTGGTTATTAAATTGTGATCTTCATGATCTCAACTGCAATCTACATACAGCACATCATCAAAGCTGATGCTAAGGTGTATATATAAGATGAGCAATATCCAAGTTGCACAATAGTCCCTTTTACCCTGATGTTTGTATCACCACGCTGATTTGTGACTGCCTTATCTTCCCACTGGCAATTCAGTTTTATTAAATTTTTCAAAATTAATAGTATTTTCCTAATGACCATACTACTGTTTGTGTTTTTGCAGGGATAAGCATTAAGTCAAGTTTCTTTGACGTAAATGATTTTTTAATGTAACTTTCTGTTGCAGATATAGATGAATGTTCCCTTGGCCACCATCAGTGTGGTAGTTTTTCACGATGTTACAATACACCAGGATCCTACAAATGCAAGTGTAAAGAAGGGTACAGAGAGAATGGAACAAACTGCATACGTATGTAATGCTCCTTGTAAAAAAGGAATTCTGAAAGTAAATGTGTCCCATGTTGTAAATTTTGAGATACAGCACTATCAGGCTCAGTTTCTCTTAACTATTTTTAATACTTAGTAAGAGGACAGGGAGTCAGAGTTTTCTGAGTCTTAGCATGCCTTGGTAAAAATACCTTTCCCTGAGACCTTTTCATAATTAGAAAGAAATTCACCTCTCCCTGTTCACAGCTTCATTCTCCAGATTGCTTTAGGATGAGAACAACTGAGTAAGCAGGGTAGGTCTGGTCAAACAGTACATATTACTCATACCCTGTTATTATGTACACTCTGCCACTGGTCCATTTCAGCAGCTCACCCCATCCACTCCCCACTGCTCCCTAGACGTGAGCAGAGCCGAGAGGGAAGATTTCTCTGGAAGAATTCTGTGTTGGAGAATTCCCTTCCTCACCTCTCTTGGGAGAAGCACCTGTCCCCCTTAGTACAGAATAGGCCACTGGAGCTCCCCCACATTTGACATCCCTCAGGACTGTGCAGCTCTATGACATCTGCTGAATCTTTTTGAGGATCCTGTGTTCATACATGGGTTCTGGTCTTTGGTGACTCGCTGATCTCTTTAAAGAGCAGTACCATTGTGGACTTGTTTCCTTTCGCTGTAGCTGTCATGCTAATGTGATCTGGCTAAGGTGATCTTTCACAACCTGAGTGCTTGCAATTATATGTGGATGAACTTCACATGTGTTACTGGGACGTAGTCCTAAGGTGCATTTTATATTTTTATATACCATAATGTAAAAAACGCAGGGTATTCAAAAGAACAGTAATAAACAGGTGGCCAAGAGAAAACCTTTTTACCTGCAATCATCAAACAATTAATTGTTTAACAAACAGTAGTTCTTCATTTTAACTCCATTCGTGTTATACTTGAAATACTTGTACACAAAATAGGTGACTAGAGTTCTTACTGGGGCTTTTAAGATCTCCTGTGAGAAAACCTTTTTACCTGCTATCATCAAACAATTAATTGTTTAACAAATAGTAGTTCTTCATTTTAACTGTGTGTTATACTTGAAACACTTGTACACAAAATATGTGACTAGAGTTCCTGTTGGGGCTTTTAAGACCTCCACTGAGATATAAAAGGCTTATTAACAAATAGAAAATTATAAATAACAAAACAGATGTTCTTGCATTTCACGTCCACAGAAACTCCCCCTGCGAAACCAAGTTAAAATTTGTTGTCTGCCCTTTTTGAAATATTGGGGGAGATGGTACTGTAGGCACTGTCACTGTGGTGTAGGTGGTACTCAGTTCACCTTCTCCTTTTTGTGGAGGCTGAAAAAATGCCATTTACTTAGTTTCCTGGTGTTTAGCAAAGGTAAAGATCTAAATGAAGGCTGTTGGCTTAGGTTCAATCTCTGTAAAATGATTAATGCTTGTTGACAAGGAGAAAAGTTTAGAAAAAGTGGAGAGGTCTGTAAGATAACGTTCTTAAGCTAAAGGTATCTGGCCATCCATGACCAAAATCGTTGTAACATCGGAGTCTTACTAAACTCACCTCCACTCCTGAATACAAACTGGTCCAGTTTAGAGGGCTGCTTAACACACATCTTCGTGTCCATGCTTTTTTACTAACAGTGGTTTTGGGTACGTTTTACCACCTCTGAAAGAGTGTTGATGCTTGGGAGGAGGTGGGGATGAAAGTCTCTTGGTCTTCAGTCATTCTAAATCATCTCTAAACTGCTGCAATGAGAAGTAGTATTTAAAGGGATGTGATAATTTAGCAGTGCTGATGCTAAAGTATGTTTCTAATTAGTGGAAACATTCAAAAGAAGAGAAATTACTTCAGCAAAGACTCTCCGTGTCATCATGAAATATATTCTTAAGTTTCTGGAGCGAGAGACTCAGATATCCATTTTGGTCCCATTTTGATTCTCTTTGCAGTTATTCTTAATGTTATGATTGAACCACCTGGTCCCTATCATATATTCAAGGGCAACAGCATGCTCCCTAAGGGAGGCAGTGGTATAACCAATAGGATTCCTGATGTTGAAGGCACAAGGCAACCCCTCAGACCACCATATGTACTTGCTATTGTTACAGAAAGGCCGGTGACCAGGCCAACAACTCGTCCTACACCCAGGCCAACAACTCGGCCTACACCCGGGCCAACGACTCATCCTACACCCAGGCCAACAACTCGACCTACACCTGGGCCAACGACTCATCCTACACCCAGGCCAACAACTCGACTGACACCAAAGCCAACCACTAGGTATGTGCCAGTGACAACAAGGCCAGTAACAAAGCCAGTGACGAGACCTCCACCTCCACCCCCACCTCAAGCTACAACGTTAAGACCTACACTACCACCACAAAGAACTCCTCTGATAACAACTGAAGAGCCTTCACATATTCCTGTTGAAACTACATCTTCCCAAGGAATTACAGATGACAACAGGATCCAGATAGATCCTCAGAAACCTCGAGGAGATGTGTTCAGTAAGTAATTTTACATATCGTTTGATTTATCAGAATTGTAGATGCAGTGAGGTGAAAGCATGTGCTGTACTGTTTGGGTTCTTTGGAACACTTTATCAGTGAGAACAAAGACATGAAACTGAAAGTGTTCATATGGTAAAGCTGCACAAATAATTGATTTTATGACTTAACAAAAATGTGGGGAGGAAGTTCTGGATCAATTCAACCAAAAATTTCAATTCTTCTTCCTGAAATTATTTGTGAGTATATTGTCCTGTGTAAGTGCTTAACTTAATTATGCCTTCAGAGGAAAGTTTTGGAGAGTGAAAGACATTTTATTGAAAAACACTGAAATGCAACATAACATAAATAGTTAATGGATTCAAATTCAGGGAGTTGAGTGTCACTCTTAGACAGCGTATTTCCTTAGCTTTAAGAATGGTAAGAAATGGGACCATGTCTGATGACCTAAAGACTGTTAATGTCACCTTATTGTGTGAAATCAAATAGTCCTGGATGTTTATGACTAAGCAATGGCAAAATTGCATAAAAATAACAGAGAGGCTAATTTTATGACTGCAGCTATGAAAATTGATACATGAAAAGCTGAAGATAGTAAAGATTCTCATAGCACGAACATATGTCATTTTAAGAGCTTCTCTGAAAGCTACAGCACCATTTCTACGCCAGCTTTAGTGCATACCACAGAAGACATTACTGGCACATGCAGAGTTATACATATCTGCCAAGAAATACTCAACACCCGATTTCATCTTCAGTTCTGCTGCTAATTTTAGATACGTGGAGGGTGTGCTGGATCAGCCCTTCTCCTTCAGCCTGATGTACAATAAAGCTGCTGAAGCAATGTAGTAGGAGGAAAAGTTTGCTGTCTTGGAGCAGGTGTACAAGCAACATGGGAGGTTTTTTCCGGTTGCTTTGGCATCTGTGTGGTAACTTCTTGGGCTGTGTTCTCTTAGGTCATTACATAGTGAAATATTTTGTTCCGTGTAAAAACCTGTTTGTTTTCCCTGTTGACGTTTTATCTGCTGTAGACAGTGTGGTAAATTTAAAATGGAGACAAAAGCTGACTTAGAATTTGGGAAGATAAATCCTGCCACTACTCAGAGGAGTGTGCTTTTGGCTTTTTCAAGGTTATTTTTTAAACAATCTATATTCAATTAAAATATAAAAACATTTTGGTGTAAAATTCTAAAACGAAATATAGTAAAGACTCCCAAAAGTTAATATAATGGGAACCAATAGTTAAAAATATAGAATTCTGTGGAAATTTTTCTAGACTCTAGCATTGTGTTTCCCAGGCTGTCCGTGTTGTCTGGAATTCTAAAGCAGAGGGATAGTTTTCAGCTATTTTCATGAAGTCATCACAATCATCTGTATAAAGCTTATTATCTACAATTAGTCTTTCTGTATTGTCCCTGGAGGCTCGATTTTGAAGCTAATGCTTTCAATAAGTATGCTTCAGATATAGGGGTTTGGAAAGCAGGAAAGTGAAAGTGTTTAAGTTGGTTTTCTGACTGTAAGCTTACATTATGGTACGTACAACAAACACAGGAAAAGTTGATCTCTGCTAAGTAAGTGTTTATCAACTATTTAGGTCAGCTGCCACCCTTTGAGGTTTGTGATATACCTGCATAGCTTCAAAGGCTTCAGTGCACCATACAGCAGATTTCCAACAGGTCAAGCACCAGCAACTGTTACTGGCTTCAGTAGGTAATACAGGGACAGATACCTCCTCAGATCAAGTCAATAGATATGTCTTTAATCTCATATTATTTCTTCTTCTATCCCCTGCTAAAGATATACTGGATATACATATGTGTGTGACATAACTGTGTGACTGAAGGCAGACACTCCACGTGTGCTCTAGATGGTAGGAATTTGCATGGTGCTCGTAGCGTAATCCTTAACGAAGCTGGTATCATCTCTTTTCTTTCTGTCTTTCTTTCACGACTACTTTGAAAGTATCATCTAGGTAGTGGTCACTGGTGTCCCCTCCCACCTTCTCTCTGTCCAGAGGCATTTATTTAGTGAGTGCACAAAAGCATTTGTTTAGGATTTGAAAACTACAGTCGGGTGCAAAACAGTTCTCTAGCAGAAGAATGCGCTACCTTGTCAAGGAAAGGTGTTACTTTACTTATTGAATCCTGTTACTGTAGGAGTTTGTGGGGAACGGGAGAAGTTTGAGTTCCTCATGTGGGACACCTAGAAAAGCGGGTAGAAAAGTTACAGGCACATACTTTACTACAATGGGATGTGCAGGGCATGACACAGCTTGTCCTCGCCTGCTCTGAGACCTGCACTTCTGAGGATAATACTGAGATACTCAGTCATCCCCAAATGTCATCACACCAGGGGTTCAGCAACATGGGAGCGTTACTGCCAGGCGCTGAGTTCCTGGGCATTGGCTGGGCTGCAGAACTGGCTGCGTGTGTGCTCTTGGCCAGTGGCAAATGCAAGATCAAGTGCATTAGCTCAAATGCCTTTCATGTTAGCTTACAGATGGCATTTGCCGGGTGGATTAAGCTTCAGGTTCCTGCTGGTGTGCTGCAGGCCAGCCCTGCCCCTGCTCCAGGCCCGTGGGAGAGCAGTGCCTGACTCTGTTAGGCTGCAGCTGCTCTGCATGAGGCACCGCAAGCTCGGGACAGCAGCGCTTCCACCAAGCGTAAGCTAGGGCCTCTCGAAAAGCATTCCTCACAGCCAAACACAATGTTAACAACCACATTGTTAAGACAATACAGAATTTTAAACTGAAATAACTAGTAACATTTAGCTAACCTCTGACACGCTTCTTATCTGCCATGTGGATGTGCCAACCTTCCCCCTCCAAAAACATTTGTTGATTTTTCATTTGCCTCTCTATTTCCTCAGGGAAGGGGCTTTTTCAGCTAATTCCTTCAGCTTCTTTAAAACTGTTGCTGTTTTAATCTCACCTACATCAGACATCTTTGCGGTATTCCTGGGTTGTGGATATGAGCTAATTTCATTTGGCTTATACTGAGCCTCTAGGTTTATTTCCCCATGTCATCTGCTTCTCCAGTTGAGGCAGCAAAGAAGCTCAAAAATGAATTTGCACTGCGGTCCCTGTATGCCTGCCTGAAAAGAGAAGAGAAAGCCTCACTCTTGCCGCCTTTGTTTCCAATGGGAGAATGCAGGCAGCAGTTTGGTCATCTTGTAACACCCATGGTCTCAGAAAACAGAGGAGGATCCACTCAGATCATGAAGTAGGACTTCAGTTTTGTAAAGTCTTCAGAAGAGTTACGGTGTCTTCTTAGATGGCTGTTTCCTTGTGTGTTGCCAAGGGCTGTTGTATCCCAAAGAGTCACAAAAAGGTAGTGTTTTATAACACAAGGATGGGCAAAACCCAGCACAGAGGGCACTGTAGGCAGCAGTCACTGGCAATTCTGATCTTCTAGCACTTAGCATCTGCTGAAGACCTCAATATTTAAAGTTGTGTTTTTACGCTAGGTTACCTTGTGATGCATGGACTTTTTCCTTCCTTTTTTCCCTCTTCAGGCTCTGAAGCCTTAGCCAGACTTCGACAAAGCAGCGTGACAGTAAATGCTGTTTTGCTTAGCCATCTGATATAGGTGGTACTTCTGTTAGGCAATCCATGGCAAATGCGTAGTTGCTGCTCTGTACACTGATAGATGTCCTAGTGCACGAGACCAAATCATGCAAACATACTGGTGGATTGGGCTGGATCAGGAGAGGAAACATGGGCAAGCATACTTGTTTTCTGCAAGCATCTCTCAAATTTTCATTTTTCATTATTTAACCTTTTCCTGAGCTTACCCTTGTCAACTCGTTGCTCCCTGTTTTCTCCTTTCGTGTTATTTGACCTGCCGTCCCACATGCTGAGTAAACTTGTCCTAAGCTTTCACTTCAGAACACTCTTGAATGTGCTGCTCAGCTTGAAATCAGCTGAGGACTGGTGAAACTGGGCTGTTCAGCGGCGACAGAGCACAAATGATAATAACGCTGGTAATGTTATTTAAATACCTTTGCAATTTTTGAAAGGTGTTGTGTTGTTGCATTTCTTTAGATGCTTTACCCCTTTTCTAAAAATGACTGCAGTGACTTTGGGGAGCTGCTTTTTCAGAGAACAAAAAAATGAGTATTCTTTAAAATGGAATTCCTACACTTGGCCTTTGAACCACTTAGTCAGATGCAGACAGTGGAATCTGGCACCAAGGATAATCTTCTGATATGGATATGGGGGGAATGGCAATGAGGGAGGAATGCAGCGATGGCTTAATATTTAACTATTTCAGGACTGATACAAACTACACAGCGAAGTACAGAGGTATCTTTTCTGGTTACTTGGATAAAGTGTCTAACAAATAGAATGTACTTCTCAATAAGACTATGAATTTCTGCTACCATTGGGATCTGGGTGATAAGCATTAAAAGCATAAACTTAAAAGACAAAGCATAATACTAGATGTCAGCAGAGCAAGAACAAAACCCCTTACCTGTATTAAAAGATAGTTCAGCAATTTTCCTTCTTAGGCCTTAGTGGAGCTGAAAAGATTGGAATTAGGAGACTTTTCTCGTAACAGCTATTAAAAAAATTTAAAGACTGGATTAAAACTTGATTCTTTCTGCTCCCCCTTTCAATGACTGGAAAGTCCTTAGCGCAGTAAATGCAGTTATGTGATCCTTGAAGCTGTTGAAAAAAGGGAAATGCTAACAGCAAAGAATGTGGGTTTTGTTATTCCTTGATATCATCAGAGTAGCATCATTTTACAATAGCATTTCATTTGTCTTCATCGTTTTGGCACCTATTAAAATGTATTTGTCTTAATATGTAAGCATTTAATATAGGCATTTTGTTCCTGTTTGTACTCTGGAGCTAAATCATAAGATCTAGGAGTCTTGCAAATCACACCCTCCATCGGTCTTGCAGCTAGTTTTATCCCCAGCTCTGATATGTAAGCTTCTGTAGAGTACTTATTTTAGCTGTGTTTCCCTGAAACTCAGTTGTCACTCTGCACCTCCTGAATAGCTGCTCATAGAAAAGCAGGCAGGTTGCTTTTCAGAAAATCTTCTGAGAAGATATATAATAAGATGTTTGATCTGGTCAAAGTTAATGAGCCTTGTAACTGCCTGAGAAACGCAGGATTGGACTTTAGAGTGGTCGCACGCTAGCACCATCTCTTCCCTCTTACAAAAATGGTACTGTAGAGGTGGGACAGTCCATGAAAGCCCTTCCTGAAATAATTCTCACTGCAGAATTTGAATTTGTGGAGTTTTAGGCAACATATCCTGGACTCTGCAGGTATCCAGATAAAAGGGTGAAGTGTTGCCTCTCTGTTGGCCTTCTTTTTAGCCCAGCATTTATCAAAGTCTTCCCTGGAGGAAAACAGGACATACTCTTTTTTATGAAGTCTGACTGACCTCTGGACTACCCTTCCTTTTAGGTATTTTCTACTAGTTCTGTGAGAGATCTCATCACTTGTGGGGGTTTTTTTGGAATTTAACAACTTTCAACTGTAACTATTCAGTCAAAAAATCTTTGCCCTTTTTTGTTGTTTTTAACAAATGGGAAGCTTGGTCATGATTATTGTGTGGAATGGAACTGCATAAGAACACAGTGTTTGTTGTAAGGCAGAACACTGTATTATTAATAGTAATAACAATTACTAATAACATGAAGCTGCACTCCATGTTTTGTTTTGGTTTTGTAACACCAAAACAGTGATTATTCTGTAATTACAAATAACATGACATATGTACACACCATCTCTTACACTCCCAAACTCAGCAATTAGCAAGTAAATGAAAAAAAAGTCCTACTGTTTTCCCAAAGGATTAAAAAGCTGAAAAGAAATCAGTCTTCTGCAGTTATTAAGTGTTCCCCCCCACATTCATGCATCTATGAAGAACTTAGCTCATGAACTTTGAGAATATGGTACTGTTGATGTATTGGCTCACTCAGAGCTTATAAAATTCTCCAAGAAAAAGAAGCCAAGTTTATATTTAACAAGCTTTATCAAACCATTGAAGTTAAGTGAAAAGCATGCTGATACACTCTATAAAGTACACAGAAAGGGCCTGGAAAGCTTGCAGAAAATAATTGTGCCAAATACTTTCTCCCACGATCACCACTCAACATATTAGTCATTGTAGCAAAAAGAAGTGTACACATGGATCAGATTTAGGGTCCTGCATCTCTTGTTTCATATCAAGTGCACATTCCTCTAATTAGGTCTGAGCACTGAAGTGACTCGTTTAAAGCTCTGCAACACGTTCTTCTAGAAGTTCATAATAACAGTGTTTAGAGAGGACTTTAGAGAGAAGTTTTGAAGAAATATTTTATTGTAGAGCTTTAATTATAGGCAAATATATCAACTTTAATTTGGAGAATGCTTGTATGTGTGCACAGATGTAACTCAGATCTGTATAAAATAACCATACATACAGTACGTACGTACACTGCGCTCAGCAGTTTTGAAGCGAATTGCCGACTTGTTGTTCATAGCGTAGGAAATGAACGGTATCTTTTTTCCTTAGCACAGTCCAAGAAGAGGAAAGGCAAGGTGATAGTCCCTGGGGGATGCAGCAGAGATGTGTCTCATGCGTGGGGACTGCTGCATTCCCCAGGGAGCAGCAGCCTGCAGTGTGGTCGTAACGCGAGGCAAAACTCCGCTGTGAGGGGTTAGCCAAGGCAAAATTGCGGTCAGAGCACTGTCCTGGCAGAAATGACAGTAAGTAACTTATAGGATGCTGTTCGTTTAGCAGCCTTTGTCAGTAAATACTCCTGCAAAATTTGCTGTCCCAGGTGGCTGGCCACAGTAAGCCCAAGAAATTGAATTACCAGTTTTAACATCCCTGAGCAAACCCACTGCAGCTGAATTTAAACTGTGCCGATCGCTGCTGTGTGTACCACAGTGGCGGTGGTATAGACACGCATAGACAGCTCACACACGTATCTACTCCATAAGCTACTGCTCATGGCTGTCCGTGACTGTAATGCAGTTAAGAGCAGTGTAAGAGTGTGTATGCTGTTACACGTCAGAACAGCTTACATCGCCGTAAGCACCTCTGTGCAGGTGTGACTGTAGCTGTACGATGTGCTTGTTCAACTGTCCCGCCTACACGTCAGATAGAGCTCTTAGGAAAGACGGCCATATACTGCTGGGAGGGATTAAGGGTGAACCATGGTTTTAGAGCATTCCTGTTCCGATTTTTTGCTGCCTGAGGCAAATGGATTTTTTTTTTTTACGTAATTGAATATAGTATTTGTGCATAAATGTACTGCAGGGTGATTATTGGCCTAGGTGGTGTGGACTGTGCACATTTGTAAGGTTTCTTTCATGTCAAATCTCAAAATTCTAATTACATAAGCAAAAAACCAGATTAAACAAAGCAGCAAAAATGACAGTGTATCCTTAAAAATTAACAGGCCTTTACTACCCAACGAACCTAAAGTTCTTGAGGCTGTTTGAGCATTAATATCCTAGACTGCAAATAGACATAATCTAAAATCTACAAAGTATTAAAAAAAAAAAGAAAGGAGACATAATGATTCAAAAAAGACTATAAAACTAAGGAGTCAATCGGTTCCCTACAGACTTCAAGCTTTTTATTTATTTATTTTTATTATAAAAAATTTCCATCCAAGATCTGTAGCCTGTAATATTACTTTTAAAATACATTAGCATTTGGTCGACCTTTTATCAGACTGCTTATTTTGTCCTAATTGCAAAAAGCAGGAAGCTACTTCATTCTTGTTTTTAGTTTTCCTCTGTCTTCTGGCTTCAGAGGAGCTCTTGCGGTAGTGCTATTTACGTGTTGTCCTCGTGCGAAAGAAGTTTCTTCTTACCTTTGATTAGATTTCCTGAAAACAACAGTCCTTTATTTCAGTTTAGAACTGCAAATCATCTCAATTCTTGTTCTCACTTGCCTAAGAAGCCTACAGAGACATTCAGATACTTATTTCAGCACTGCAAATGGAAAATGTGTCAAGTTTTTAATAGATAAGGCCCTTACAAATACTGTAGGTGTCAAGAGGTGTCTATAACATTTAAGGACATGTCTGAAACACATTACTACTGTTATTAATTATGCGCTAGACCTGCCTCTAAAAGAGGAGTTTCCAAGGCAGCTCTGTCCAGTGCAGTCTGTTTATTTCTAGTTGACAGCTGTCCATCAGGCCTGACATTGGTGTGTTATTTCTGGAGACATACAGACTGGCACAGGGTCTGCAGAAGTTAAGTGGAAATCTTTGTAGCCACCTGACTTTGGCAGCCATCGCTCCCACAAAGACCTCTTAAATTTCAGCTTGTCCTGGCTGCTGAATGTCTAATAACCTCTGGGCCCGTTAATCACCGAGAACGTTCCTTCTTGCAGCTGAAGGACAGACCTTGTTGGAAAGCAAAAAGTATAATTACAGTTGAATTCCAGCTTCCACTAGAGCTCCTCCTTCTCAGCTCTCAGTACAGTCCTGGTAATTGTTTAGGGAGCTCTAATCCGTTGCAGCGAGATGGCTACACCTTCAGCTGTGTTTCAGAGGGTAGGGGGGTGGGGGGCCTCAACAGAGATGCTCCTATAAACATCTGTGGAAGGTGAGTGGATCGGAAAGTTGGAGCAAGGGCTTTAAAGTGGCTTCATTTTATTGAGAAACCACTATCTTTAAAAGTGCATTTGGAGGGTAATAGTGTGCTTCAAGGTTAAAGCTTTTTTCTTTCTTTTTTTCCTGGTTAAAAAGGAGTTTTCATTTGAACAGCCTTTAGCAGATTTGGAATCACCTTTTACAGTGCTCAGATAAATGTTACAACATAAATCACAAATCACATAGGCATAAAGTTTATGAATCCTCATGTCAAATACAATATATTGAATTCGCCAAGAAAAGCACAATGCCCAGAGCTGTTCTGCCGTTTTTTATTAAAGATAAGGAAGTAGGTCACTAACTACCTTTATCTCATTCATTTCTGAAAAACTGCTTTTCTCACAGTTCCACGCCAGCCTGGAGTGAGCAATAATCTACTTGAAATACTTGAAATTGAAAGAGGGATTACTGCCGATGAATTTGAAGCAAACGATGACCCAGGTAAAGATCACGTCTCCTGTTCAGGGCCTAGGGTTTAGGATTTTTTGAGATGTCTTGGTTTTTTATACATTTTTACAAGACTCCTAAATCTTATGCCCCTTGTTTAAACTATGCTTTCTAAAAAGAAAAAAACCCACCACCTAAGTGGTCCCTTATCATTTTATTTCCTAACCAATTTAGCACAAAAATAGTGTGAATTGTTAATAATAACACTAGCATCCTTTTTATTGTTTTAGTATTTTTGTAGATTCTTTTTCTAGTGCTCCTTCTGCTGCATTTAATTTTTGTATTTACTCACTAGTGTCAGGCGCAGGGGAAGTTGCTGTAGTTCCCCAACCAAAACAATCAAAATCACCTTTTTTTTTTTTTTTTTTTGTTGACCCTCTGCTCTGTTCTGCCTAGGTGTGCTGGTACACAGCTGTAATTTTGATAGTGGACTGTGCGGATGGATCAAGGACAAAGATGATGATTTGCACTGGGAACCGGTGAGAGATGTGTCAGGTAAGATACCTGTGTACGATCGCATCCTATAGTCGAAGAACCACCCAGGCTTGAGGTTGATGACAGTTATTGCATTATGATGAATTTACACAGCTTCTGTTCCCTTTAGTTCCAGGATGTATTTCACACACATACCTGTTGCGTGTATAAAAATCAAAACTGAGGATTCCCAACATGAAAGAGCAACTGAGAATTTGCACTTTTATCATAGCTGGTATCTTTACAATAGCAATGTCTCTGAAGGAGTAGTAAATGTATTCCATAAAAGATTATCTGTCTTAAAAGAATCAGAACAAAGACGTGGACACAAACATACTGATTTCTATATTAGCAGCAAAATTGTAGAAAGTGCTGGAAAACAGTCTTTGTTCTGCTGCTAAATAATATTCTAGTTTAACCTCTCAGTTCGATTTTATTGAATTCTACTCTAAGTTACAGCAACCTGTATATAGGAAGGCTGTTAAGTAACTGGAAGGAGGACAAGTTAGATGCTTATATGCAGAGACTTCTGAAAATGGGTATGTTTGGGATGGTAAAAAGCGACCTTGTAATGAGTATTACATGGGAGCGTGTACGAGCCACTTGCAGGATAGGAGAAGACCGGCCCCAGTGGTCAGCCAAAGCAGCGACCCCTCCCACTCGCACCCCTCTGCCGCTGTAGTCCCAGCAGAGCCGCACATCTGCCCTGCTGGCAGTTGGCTGTATTTTGTCCCCTCTCAATTTTACAGTATGGCACCTCCAGAGAGCCTGGCTGTCCGTGCCTGCGTACCCTTCCCCCAGCAGTGCTTGCCCCACAGCGCGGGGATTAGACACACGTCTCTGGCTCCCCGTAATGATGGGATTACTTCATACCCAGAAGAGCAGCCTTTGAAGTGCACAATGCTTACATTATGTGAGGGGATGGCAGACTTCGGAAGGAAATGCGCTCTCAGGCCGTAAAATGTTACAGGTTAAGTTGAGGGAGGGTGAGGGCGCTGAAAGCCATTTTCCTTACGCACCACCTCATCATAGATGTCTGTCCTTACGCTGCCATTGACGAGACGGTCATTTGCCACCGCAGCGGGTGACCTGGCGCCTTTTTCAGGCTGTTCAGCTGGCGAAGTGGAAGTGCTGTCTTCACTTACTGGGCAGGCCCCCTCCCCACCCACAGGCATGCTCTACTATTTCATATGCTCCTTACGACACTTAAAGTCTCATGAATGACTCGGACAGCAGAGCAGAGCTCCTTCCTCCCGCAGATGGGAAAACAGGTAGCTGTCTCCTGCTTGCAGACTGGCATTTTGAAAAAGATCACACATATATCAAACATCTTTTTGAAACACTGGATTTAAAAAAGCTTTGTTTCTGAGAAAGTAAGTCACTCAACCCATATTCACTATGTGTACTCAAAAGTTGTTGTTAGCACGTATTAAATCCCAGAATTATAATTTTTAACTAGGGTTTTTTTTTTTTTTTTTTTTAGACTTTTTTCGCCCCTCCTACATTGCTTCCCGGTCAGGGACAATCTCAGCTTTTTGTTTCCTGTGTATGTTCTGCCGCTGTTGACATAACCTGTTAAAACTAGTCCCTTGAAGTCACCCACCCACTCCCTCCTGTCTAGAATACCTTGTTGCAAGGATTTATTTTCACAGCTTGTTCCCGAGTGTTTGCTTTCACCTTTCAAAGTTCACTATTTATTGGTTTATCAGAATCTGCATTTCGAAAGGTTCCCTGCTGAAGCCTTATAAGCTTATCTTGCATGCCGAAAACGCTGATTTGAGGGGACCTTTTCCTGCAGGGGCTTGCCTACAGATAGGTTGCCTTTGTGCTTACCTAAATCTGTTTCCTATTGATTGGATTCAGTCACTGTAACTATCCGAAAGAGATGCAGTTAATGAGTCAAGTCAGTACTTTTATGGTGATATAATTGTATCTACAACAAACAGGTGTAGTTAGTTATACTCTGTTATGCTTATTTTGGTGGTTAGTGACCTTGATACAAAAACAATGCATTAAAAAAATTAAAAACTGGGGGGGGAACACAACAAAAAAACTTTAACAGATCCTTGGACAAATGGATCCCACTTCCATGCCCAAATGCAGATCTGGGGCCCCAGACAGCAGCGTAATACTTCGCTTTGTTAAATCTCATTGAGACCAAAGAACTTAAAAACCTGTGTAGAAGTAGTGAATTGGAGACAAGGCTGGCTTTCCTTTCAAGTGTGTGACAAGCCCTGGTACATTGTTGTTAAAGCTGACAGCTTTTGAGGGAAATCACTGTGGCTTTCAAAAAGAAGCTTTCACTCTGGTTGAGTAGTAGCAGGGTGACAGTTTAAATGAAAAATATTTTTATATTCTATAATTAAGTAAAGACTGTGTACGTCAACAATATTACAAACCCCCAATATTTCCACATCATCGGTTTCAACTAAGGAGCCTAAATGCCACCTTTACCTTAAGTTCATTAAGCTTGGATTTTTTGATTAAAAAAGATTAAAAAAATCTGATCTCATTAAAAAAAAAGATTCTTAGGTTCAGAGTAAGATAAGAATATTCTTTTAATTTTTATTTTTTAAAAGTAAACCCTCCTCTCTTTGGTAATTTCAAATTTTAAACTTATCATCCACCTTGCAGAAGTTTTAATGAAAAGTACAAAGAAAAAATACAGGTGTGAGTTTTCTCCAAGATGTGAAGTCTCATTGTAGTTTTGAGTGCCTATGTGAAAAGGTGTGTGGGACTTACGGAAGGATATGCCTTTTTTTGTTTGTTTGTTTAATGGATGTTGCCATACCTGAGATCCTCCACTTTTCATGTTCTAGGTGTTTTTATGAAGGCACCTTTACTTCATACATGATCAGAGATAATAATATGGTTTTGAATTAAGTGTGTCTGTTCACTGACAACTTACTACTGTTAGAGAAGACTTCAGGGAGTGTATCAAGTTAACAGCCATTCAGAAATCATTACTGTTTCTAGCTTTCTGTATCTAACCCAGATTAAGAGTTTAAATTATGGTTAAATAAAAAGGCTGTCGGTGTTTGCAAATGGATATGCTTTGACACTTAACCTGTTGGCACAGTTCCCAAACAAAAGGAAAGGGACGGAACCATAGCTCAATTACATGATAACATTTATGCTGGCTTTCTCATTGATCTAGCCAATAACAAAAACCTGCCGCTTACAAGGTGCGTAAATGTACACAGTAGCTTTAATGTCACTGTGATTTAAAATCATGCAGTCATCAAGGGGTTGTCAGAAATTAAGGAATGCATGAAATTTTCATTTCAGAAAGAGGTATTATTTGCTTTGTAAAAAAGAAATTAGCTGGGCAAGACCTAACCTGGTACTAATGTAAACAGAACACCAGTACCGTAAATCTGACCCTGCAGGAGGCAGATGCATCAGTTCTGCTTCATGTTCCAGCAACTACATGCCTTATTTAAGACTCAGTGGACCTTGTGGAGTCCTTTTTTATTTTTTTGACTTTTTAATGACTCTTGCGCATTTGGTCCTGCAACATAGTAGAATTTAAAAAAAAAAAAAAACAAACCAGTAACTGCTGCTTCTTTTGCAGGGGGACAGTATCTTACTATCTCTGACCCCAAAGGCAAAGAAGGAAGAGTAGCACATCTTATCCTGCCATTGGGTCACATGGCTCAGGCCAGTGACTTGTGCCTGTCGTTTAGGCATAAGGTGCCTGGACTGCATTCTGGTGCCCTCCAAGTCTTTGTAAGGAAAAACGGTGCTCATGGACCTGCCGTTTGGGGAAGAAATGGTGGCCATGGCTGGAGACAGACACACATAACTTTACGAGGACTAGGCATCAAGAGTGTAAGTACCGATGCATGTGCTGCATTCTGGTTTTTTGTATGAGAAGCTGAAGCCGCTTAGATGGTGTAGCACTGGACCGTTTGTCTTCTGGGTGCAATTTCAGCCTGTGTTTTACTACTTTGATCCCTGCCCATGGAATCATGTTAAGGATAAGAGAGTCATTGTGCATTTTGTCAAATTAGTTTTTTGCAAAAAAACCCTACCTACAGCACTAGACACATAGGAAACTACAAAATACTGAGCTACCTTGTAGAGCCTGTTTTCAGGGAATCGCCATGCAGGAAAGAGCAGGCTAATGAACAATGTCATACTGTACGTGGATTTCCAGAAAGCCTCTATCAAGATTCCTCATGAACAATGCTTTAAATAATACAGTGCCATGAAATAGGAAGAATCATCCCCTGTGGATTAATAACTGCCTAAACCAGGGCAAAGATACTGAAAATAAGTCATTTTTGATAATGAAGGGAGGTTACATGTACAATCTCACATGGTTTTATGCTCTTCCAGCATACCTGCAGCTGATCTGGACAAGGAGGTAAATGATGACCTAACTATGCCAATAACACAAAATGATTTAACGCAATCAAAAGAAAGTCTCTGGAGTGCCACGGAGAATCTTTTAATAGCTGAAAATCTTAGAAACATTGGGTGATACACTGATAGATCAAAAGCTCAGCATTTTTCTTCAACCTCTGCTTAGCTTTGAAGGTAGTTTCTATTTCAGATCTGAAGAAGGTGCTTGGGTGCTTCAGGGCCCGTTTTGCTCTGACTTATGTCAGGTAGCCTAAAAAAAGCTCACACATCATAATGTTCATGGTGGGAGCAGGCTACAACACACACAGAGTATATGGTTCTAAAATTAACGTTAAGGCTGTAATTACTGCAGTTAATTTTCCAAAAACTTCACCTCAGCAAAAGTAACAAAGACACCTGACCTTCTGTTAGCTGTACATGAGTATCAGACTGAGAATGTGGAAGTTTATAGCAGGTGAACAGTATATTTGCCCCATTCTTACCCTTTTCTGCCAAGTTTTAACACCTCCTGCAATCCTCAGGTCTGTCTCGCCTTATAGAGCAGTTCATTGAATAAGTGTGTATTATTAACATGTTGTCTGGCAGAAAAGCAAATGAGTTTGAGACGGCAACCAAGACCAGCAGTCCCCCTTTGCACTGTCCCCTGCCTCTCTTGACCACCTCAGCAGTAGCTGTCAGCGTGGCTTGCCAGCTGTAACCCATCGCTGGTCCACAGACCAGAGCTGCCTCACGGCACCTTTCGGAACAGTCGAGTTTGGGATCTTGTCCAGCCAACATGGGGAGCCTGGGTTGCTGACCTGAACCACTGTGACATTTATTCCAAGGATCAGGGAATGAGAGAAAACTCAAGTTAGCAGGAAAGGCCTCTGCCACAGAGAAATCAGGAGGAAATATGGAAGCTTGATTTTCTACCTAATTAAAAACCAAAAGTAACTAAACACTGGTGATTTTAGGGGGGCCTACTGGAAACCTGAGAAGAATATGAATGGAGACCAGAATCCTTCATCACACTTTCTACTGAATTAGCGCTATGTAAATTATTTCTAAAGCACACCCAAAATCACTCATTTCTAAAACAATAATTCATTTATTCAACATGGAGTTGAATAAAAAAAAAAATTCTGAATTCTTTTATTTCTAAAAACATAATTCAGTATATTCAACACATACTTTCTCTGACTTCCTCTGTTCCTAATCCTTATTTGAAAGTGTGCTTTCAGCAAGCATCCAAATTATTTTTAACTACACAGCTGAATTTCTGATCTATGTATCCGTCTTAACTCTATCCAGCTCAGTGATAACAGCAGACTTTTACAAAGTTTTGCTGTAGGCTTCGGATAATTTTAAAGCCAGGGTCGAAAACATCAACCACATTAAAACAGTTCAGGCTTCTGAATCTACAGCAGCAGCAGAGGTGGGCAATGCTGATTTATGGGAAGTGTTTCTTAAAGTCAGCTGGCCATTCTGTATATCATCTCCAATTTATGCTCCAGTCCTTCTAGTCAAGTTTTGTATTTGTTGAATTTCTCCTACTCAGGCTAAATCTGGACTGCTAATGATGTGCTTAAATCCATACCCAAAGTTCCGCTGCCATTTTGCGAGGAGCCAGCCCTTCTCTAGATTACCATCAGTCTGCAGGAGCCAGAATTTGTTAAATAAAAGATGGGTGTTTCTAGTTCCCATAACTAAGGCAGCTGCAAGGTGCTTTAGCAATGGAAAGCTCCTCTTACACAACGACTTTCAGAATACAGATGATTTTATGCGTTTGCCATGAGGGACAATGAAAACAGTGCAGAGATGATATGTAGAAAGCGCCCGAGATTCTCTTACGTGGCAGTTTGTCTCACCTCAGCAGATGGTGCAACTGGAGCAAGTCTGTCCTGAGCTGCTGGTTCTTTGTAAAGATCCTGCCAAAGTGAAGAAGGGAGAGGATCAGGAATAGAAAAAAACAGCTGTAATTCTGAGCAGAGTAAATAGGCTTTTGTGAGTCAGTTACGATTGCCTGAGCTTTCTTATGCTTTTCCTTTCTCACTGTTGAGACCTCCCTCAAGCAAAGCTTCTTGCATTTTACTTTACTTTAGCGCTCTAATTGTTCTATTTCTCTTCTCAGGTTATTTTCAAAGGGGAGAAAGGGAAAGGAAGAACTGGCGATATTGGACTAGATGATGTGATCTTGAGGAGAGGACGCTGCTCTGAAGAGCATTAGCAAAGTCAATGGGACCAGCACAGTCATCTCCTCTAGCCCTTCTTGTGCTATTCCTATCAAGCTTTGAAACAGAACTGCACAAAAAAGAAGAAAAAATTGGAGAATGACAACTTTGTAGTCCACTAAGTGCAATCTCACTGAAACTTCACTTAAAAATATGGAGAGAAGCTCCCAGGGTTCAGGACCTCCAATCCCATGCTGGTTATTTCTATTAATCCTTACCCCAAATCATATTTTGTTTGTAATAACTTCTAACTTCATCCCCTGTTAAGCTTGGTGAGTGCTCACACAAAGAGCACTTGTGAAAAAAGGGAGAATTAATTACAAACGGTGGCAAAAGAGAGCTCCAGCTCAGAAAGTTTTAGTGTTAACTGATACTCATTTTCTTCCTGTAGTGCTACTCTTTCATTGATGAGATTTGATAGACAGTGGGATTGGTCTAGCTTCAGAGTCACCTCAGATTAGCAGAAGGCTGGACCTGAACTTTGGCTTACTGCCATTGACCTTTGAAGAAGGGTTTGCTTCATATTAAATAGCATTTATTTTGGTGTTGCATCTGTATTAACAAAAAGCAGTTACATAGAGTAGGCACTGCATCCTGTAATATTGCTACTGCTGTGTTTTGTGTATATGTGTATGGTCATTAACATATTTATGGTTTTATTATCTACAGACTCTAGTTGCAAGGTAATTGGCAGCTATGCTTTCTTATTGTACAAGACAGGAGTTGAGCATATTCTTTGATCCCGCTGGTCGTGCCAATAGATACGTTACCAAAGTCAGTTAATGGTGCTCATTGAAAAATGCTGGTGCAGTTTTTCATGTTGTAATACGCTGAAGGCAAAAGACCAAACCCTTCCTCATGTAAACTGGCATCTGATAATACTGTACAAGTTTGCGTTTAGCTCAGGAGCAAGCCCTAAAGGCCTCTCAATCCTGCAAGAAACTCCTGGTTCAGTTGAAGACTGAGCAAGCCTGGAGAAGGTAACGTGCATCTTGTGTGATTGAGCCCATTGACACTACCAGGAATGTTCCCTTCCCACGGGGGTACGAGCCTACGCATAAGCAAAAATGGCAGCTGCGTTAACGCTGTATAATGAACAATTCAGACCGTGAAATGCCTTGAGTTGATCTTTGTCAAGTGTCCATATTCCATCCAACCCTTCTGTATATAAAAAACATTTTAATTCTTTAGAACTAGAACAACTATTAGCTCTAGCTGGAACTAAATATTTATCAGAACTTTGGACTAATTTTTTAGTTATGTATCATGCATGTGGCGTCCAGTTTCCCAGGGAATTCTTCTGTTTGGTTTGGGATTTTTTTAAATGAGGAACATCATCATTGCTGCTAACAAGTCTAAATTTGACAAAGTAATTGTAACCTTTAAGAAAATGACAAAAGATTGATAAAATGTTGTTAGTGGCACAGCCTTAAAGCTTCAGAAATGTATATAGAGAAGAAATAGGTCTCAGATCTTTTAAATACTTAAATACAATGTAAAATAAATGTCAGCTTCATATCATGTTTATAAAACCATCATTAAAAAAAAAGTCACGTTAAGTCTTGCACAACATCCACAGAGACAAAATTGCAAGACCATCAGAGGTCATATTCGAAACCCCTGTATCTGACAAAGTACTGTTTTGAAAATATTTTTGCAATTTGTCCCCTAGGACAAATCACAGTATGTATAGCAGAAGTTTATTGGACCAAACAGACAGTCTCCTGGAAACTGTATCAAGAAACATTCTGAAAAGAAAAAAAAGAATGCATTTGTAAACATTTTTAAACTCTTTTGCTTCAAATATGATCATGATCTTTTTCTCTTATGTTACTTTGTAACATGTCAGAATTTGTGAATAGTTGAAATACCTTGTTCCTATTTTAAAGTAATCAGTAAAGAAGGCTGTTACTTGCTACTAATTGGAAATCTTGTTTTCATTTCTGGATCAAAAGTCTCATGTTTATTGCAGTGAAATGAACCAAAATATGACAATGCAACCAAAGTGAAGTAGCTCTTGTTACCAGATTTAAAAAGTAAAGTAGATTTCACTGTAATATGACAGGAGCATTATATGTATTATTCAAAAGGAAGAATGACAATTTTCAGCCTAGCTTTTTTCTTACCAGTTTCACAGGTAGTTTAAGAGCTTCTGCAACATAAAATGTCCATTTTACAAGAAGCGGCAGCTACCATAGTTCCACACACTACTGAACCTGCACAAACTGTTACATTCTTTGGCATCTAACAAGACTAACACATTTTGGTCTGGTTCATCTCCAGTGGATGAAGATGGTCTTTACCACATACTACTACAGCTTTCTGAGATTGAGACTCCCTGGTTAAAACAGAAATCTCTCTCCTAGCTGTGCAAGGCCAAAAGAGTTTTTTGCCCCTTCAACAAATGGGCCTTAGAACCCAGAACTTGAATGAAGTCAGAAGGTAAGCAGAAATAAGTACTCAGGTGACACGAGGAGGATTTGGGGTCTCTGTGATTTATGAATGCGTTTCATCGTTACAATCAAACAAGCAACACCGTAAAGCCTCATCAACGACTGAAGTCTCAGCTGACGGTGGACATTGGGGTGGTCTTTGCGAGTCTGGCTCTGAAGGAGCTGCTGTGGCTGTAAGTCACTCGCCTCTGCAGCCGGTTGTGCCGTGACGCGGTACGTGTCACCTTCTCTCAGTGTTTCTGAAGAGACGAGGCGAGGTTGGCCAGCGGTTCGGTTGTGAGGAGCCTTCTGCAGCTCTCACTGCACCTGCCCTTTCAGGCAGCTCCATACAGCCACACGCCCCACCCGGGGGTGGGCTGGTGCCGCCATTCTCACGTTAGCCTCAAGAAAGAATATGGCCTGAGGTCTTCCTACGAAGTAGGCTGTAACTGCCCTTCCTGCTTAGGGTTTAATAAATAGGTAACTGTGCCAAAAGACATTCCTGCTTAAATACTTAGGCAAGCAGAAGAAATTCCACTAAATTAGCATGAAAACATTTATCAAATGTACTGTATAACCTCTTGCCAGCCTATAATTTAGTGTTTTAAAAAGATGAGCTAAACTTGTTTTTCCCCAAAAAAGATTGAAAATAAAGATTTGTCATAAATTACAGGTACCATGATCCATGGCAGTGCGCGTTTACTGACATCAAAGTGCGTACAATGGAAGGGACCGATACAAGAGTTTGTTTCCAGGTTGCATTCTAAACAGTCGCCTCACCTCTCATCAGAGCCATGTCATTAAGTCACTAGTGAGTGCTTTCAACAAGTTACCCTAGGCTTGGAGGTCAAAACATTGGTTGTCTTATAGCTGGTGATTACAATAACCACCCTAATAAGAATCAGATCAGGCACGAGAAGACAACCCTGAGCAGAAGAGTGCTCATGATGGCAGCCTCCATCGTCCTGCTCTGTCCTCATGGAGAAAAGGCACAACAGTAGCACCTGCCTCCAAGCCAAGTGCCATGTATCTCCATATAGGTGTCTCTCTGTATAGGTCCCTCCTCCTGGCAAATGAGGTGCAGTAATTGCCTCAAAGACTACTAAAAAAATCAGAGACTTTGGATCAAGCTATGCATTGTGACAGTAACCTTGAAACTTGTTCAGTCTGCATTTAAAGATACACAAGATAAACTATAGCTGTCTAAAATTTTACCTGTCACTGTTAGAAAGATAAAGCCATTGTCAGCTGAGGCCCAGTTAAATCCTATGCAGTTTTTATAGATCTAGCTCTATATCACCAAATTATCAAAGTTTTTCTAGGTAGTTAGAATGCGTTCGTACCTGCTGATTTATCCTGATGTCCTATAGTCACACAAGGTTTTATGACTTCAGATTTTTCCACACCAATTTTAAAAAACAAACAAACAAAAAACCACCAAGATGAGCAATGCATTGGTATAAACCTGCACCTTTAGAAAGAAATAATAGACACTGTGGTGGTAACTTCCAGCAGTGGTTTGAAAGAACACAGAAACCTCCTCATGCTTTGAAAGTTAACACAGTCTCCGAGCTCACCTACTGCTTCAGACTGACCTAGCGATAAGTGAGGAAATGCTTTATTTGGCTGAGAGGAAGATGCCAGTGGACTGAAGACCTTCAGGGGACACAAAGACACCTTCACCAGTACAGACTGAAGCACCTAGAGAGTTCAGTCACCAGCTCTGTGTAGGTTTTCAGGATTACAAAAATGTAATTGTTCAAAATGAATCAAATCACATTCTGGTTGCTCTGCTCTTACCAATTCTCCTTGCCCACTTGTGTGACCTCTTCCAAGCCCAAACCCTGTTGCTTTGAAACAAACTGTCTTCTAGACAGTGCTCCTGCTGGTTGCTTTGGGCTGAGATAGCCTATTTTTTTGAAAAACTAATGGTTTATTTTTTAATCTCTCTTTTTAAACTCGGCAAACAGCCTGGGTAACATCACTGAGATCAGGATAGCAGTTTCTTTTCATAGCAGTTACTGGATCTGAGTGCTCACTGGACTGTTCATGTTAGGTTGCCTTTTTTCTCCTAAAAAATCTCTAGTTTAACTCCTGAGAGCCAGATGGGATATCATGCTTACACATGCTTGATACATGTCAAAAGCATAGATCTATCCCTCATTTTCTTAATAACATGTCAAACAATGAAGCAAAGCGGACCTGCATTTTCTGGATAGACGGAAATAATTCCCTGCTCTATAGATCAGGCACTCCCCATCATTATTTTTCCTCAGGTTGCTTCGCAATAGCTGTTAAGAATCAATTCTTTCTTTACTCTTAGTAATATTTAAGCTCACTCTGTAATACATGGGCAGATTTTTGCCACTTTACTGTTTTCTTGTAATCCAGCTGTTAAAGGACTCCCCAACACCCAGGAACAAGGCTCCATCGCCATCAAACCACTCTTCGACAGGTATCACAGACACCACATCCCTAAAGCAAAAGGGCCATCTCTACAGCATCTCTCTACTCTACGTACCAGGACGCATTACGTATAATTGCATACACTGTGTACGTGAGCACGCTTGTGTCTTGCACCCAGTAGGCTGAGGCCAGTATTAAGTGTTTGAGCATG